CACAACGTACCGAGATTTCTGTTAAACATTTGTGATACTTTAATCACCAGCTTAAGATGTTTTTTCGGCGTCCATAGACAGACGGGATCATCTATAGATCTAGATTTTAACCACCGCTCTCGATTTAGATTCATAACTTTGTATTTGTTTTATGTATGTTATGTTTTTATGTAATATTTCATGTTTTATTTTGTGTACTGACATAAGGTCAGATTGCCTCGGATATTTAACAATTCTCTTGTCCGCACTGTTGTTTTAATTTATATTACTTTATATTTTTATCTTTGAGAAACTAGCCAGAAGATTAAATGGATAGCATAAAGAAGTCATATATTAATATATTTTTTTTCCGTTTTTTAATGCTAATAGAGCATAACTTCCTGATATTCACACACCAAACAAAAATATAATATATTGATAAGTACGTGTAGAGAGATGCTTATGTTACAAACGTGAGTTATACATAATCATTGCTTTTGTAATGCTGAAGTTATCACTATGAAGTTCCAAGTCAAATACCAGATACTCTGCCACCCACTGGCCTTGCTTTCTGAAAAAAATCTTGTGGTCAATAAAATTCGTATATCTAAACGCAAGACTTATTTGACATAACATTGGTGTTTCAAATTTCAAAAATAGTCATAAATCACAGGATGATACTATTTTCAACATAAAAACTAAACGAAATGCATCAAATATTTCATAACCATCAGTATCGATCAACTTTAGGTATGCCAGCTTTCATCGATATAGATATGTTGTATAAGGCATCGTTGTCGCACCGTAAGACAGGATTGGCAAAGGTCAATTAAGCCATAAATGTTGCAAAGATTTTGGCTATGTCCTTAATGTCTCTTGACTTAAAATCTTACAAATTTAGTAACGAGGATCAAAATAGCACACTAAGGTTCAAGATGCAAAATCCATCGTAAAGCTATAAAGGCACTGATTCCAATCGATCCGTATAGATTTAGTGAGCGTGGTGAGGATAAAGTGATGTGGACCTAAATCTTTCCCTAACGTTAAAGACGCGCGAGTCTAAATCGCACGTCAACGATGTGGTGACATGGAGCCTTGATCCGTGATCTAGTTATATTGGTAGTAATGAGGAAATGACATGGAGCAAAATCATGTGGTATTGATGTAGTGGTTTTCATAATCATAGCTACAAATCGACTCAGGTTCGGTTATGGAGTGTGTCTATTAGAAATCGAGCAATTCAGGCTTTCATTGTCATAAATACGTGGAACAATGGAGATGTAGTTTATGTTCTATAAACGAACCATGAACGGGTTCTTGTTGGAATGTTATTCGTGCAAATGCCATGATATCAAAACATACGAAAACGGTGCGATAATTCAAAACGCCGTCCTCTTCGAAGTATTATAGTAATATACACGTGCGTTAGGTTACACACAATTCCAAATTTGGAATGACATGAACAGTTAACAATACCTATAAAAATATCAATGGTAGACACTTATTGATGATTTAGAATGACAAAGGGTTATTTATAAACGGCGTCTTTTCGACAATACGGGCAAGAAGCAAGATGATTCACACAGATCCCGATATGCAATATGACGTGTCTGTTTGGGACTCCAATGTCCTTATATAACATTGAGGTGATTAAAACCGAAATAGACACGAGACACGGAGACTTGCTGTCACAGAATCAGGTCAGTCTTTCCCCTATAAACGCCAATGTCACGCATATCTAGGACATGGGATACGTAATGTCGTGTTGTATATCTTGGAAACTTTCGATCACAAAGCACACGACCAACGAAGATATACTTGTTTTTTATACGCTGTATACACGAGCTCAGACGGAGAATGGCAACAGTGCTCCCTATCCATTACAAGTAAGCTGGGCAAAGATTATGAACTGTATGTTACGTTTGTATTCTTTCGAATAGTGCCACGGTTTAGAATAAAACTTATTAAATGTTAGTGTATAATCATTTTGACTACTTTTCTCGGTCGCCTATTTTTCATTAAGTCAGGCTCTTAGCATCGCTGACGAGCCTTAGAAGAACGAAACGTTAGAAAGAATCAGACTAATTTATTGTTCAGCTCTACTGTGTCACGTGTTATTTACTTGTGTCTTTTGTACAATCTCTTAATAAAGTTTACCATTTTGGAGTTTTTAAAAACATCCTGACCAATGATCACATTTTTGAGAGATGGTATGAAATTATCCTTATTTGATCATGACGTTACTTTGTAGGTCGTAAGAGAAAACCTGGTGTGATAGCCGATAATAATCCATATCTTAGGAAACTAATAATAGATCTAGAGTACATGATATTAAAATACTAACTGAAGTGGCTGTTATCGACATTACTCGTAGTAAATGAAGTGCATTAACCACAGATAAATGTCAACTGGTTCATATAACACATATTATTCCTACAATACCATCAATTTTGCTTGTAGGTAACGAGAAATAGGGGGTTAATAATGAAGAAATTGATTTGACAATTGCGTGTCCAACACACAATCAAGTGGCTTAAGTCAATTTTAGTGGAGTAAACAAAGACACAAAAACCTATCATTTGTATTTAATGTAATCACTTTTATTTATTAGCGACCTAGCGTGATATCTCGCGTATACGTCTACGTCTTTACTGTAGATATATATCGAGGAATTGAAAACTGTTAGTAGTAACTCAAAAAGGTCTCAACATGTGCAATAATGTTTTAACATCTACCTACATATGTATATCCACTATCCACTGTCTATATCCACTATGCCGTGAATGCTAAGCATTATACAGTGTAGACAGTTTTATGATGTCTATCGGGAAACGCTCTTTTATTGTTTTGATGTCAGTGTATTGTCGAACACTCATAAAACTACAGAGACAAAATCAGAACAAAAGAAAGCGTCTTGTACTGCCAGGGACTGTTACCATGGAGTCAACATTTAGTTTATAGACGTTATGAGTGATATAATTATGTAATTGGGTGTAAAAGACATGTGCTCGATGTGGAGGGATATTTTATCAGAGATAAATCTAGTCATACATTTACAACAAAATAGCACAACCCGTACCAAGGTGAAACAAGAAGTGAACAGAATGAAATGTAATAGTATTGCTAAATTAATGTAATAGTAAATTGTTTAAGATAACCTCAGTTCCCTCTCATCGTGTCTGTATCTAAACTAGAACGTATCTTAATGTTAATCATCACAAAATTTGATATTTAATGTTCACAAAAATTTCAGTTTGTCATAAATTATGGAAAATGACCAAACATTGTTGTAGATCGCTATTCTGTATTTGATGACTATACTTACTAGGTACTGAACATTGTATAAATGTGAGTTGGTGTGTGCCGTTACTCAGGCTTCCACAAGGCCAGAAAATGGAGGCATATGTACATTAAACGTATACATATGGTGGCTGTCGATACTACGAAATCAGCGTCAGTAACTGTGACGCCACTGTTAATGTCGATATTGTAAAACCCGTTGTTTACACAGTGGTAATGGATAACAACAATTCATCTCTTACTAATTGTGCCATAACGATTATAGGTGTGTTTCAGTAGGTTTAAGATAAACATCAGTCGAATCGGGTTGATATAGGCTATCGTTAATCTGCCACTTAGGGTCACAAAGGGTCCGTGAATAGAGGTTTACAGATTGTTAAATAATAATTCTCACGGTGGATGTATACAGGTGTTTGTTACACATGAATATATGTTTATTGTACCATTTTGTGTTGTTAATGGGAATGGTAAGTGCAACATCCAAAACTTCTATATATCTATATTCCGTGGATAGTGACAACGTTAGTAGTATATCTCTAAGCACTATGATTAGGAATATTGTAACCTGACGTTCATGTATCTAAAAATGTCATGAAACTACCGTAAAAGCGAAACGAAAAAGTCGTGTCATTGCCATAAAGCTTGGATGGAATTCAATTACTAAACTCATCTTTCGCTTTTCTCGAATTTAAGTCAAACCAGCTGGTATAGTCGTAGTGCTTGTAACTCTTCACACCACACTCAAGGGAAGAACGAAAATAATAGATTAATAAATATGAAAACGAAAATAAATCATAACAACGTAAAATTCAGCTCTTTGTCAGTTATGTTTAATAAATTACGACGTAGAAAATTTTAACTTCTGAATATGACAGAAATATATTTATTAAAATATTCTCGCGTTTTTTGCCTTCCTTACTTTATTTGAAATGGACATTAAGTACGCTGTCCAATTATTTTTGAATGCCATTTCGTGTACTTTGTAATATAGAATTGGCCATCAAGCTCAAACATCAACTTAATAAAAGGAAACTAAACGGGCCGTTCCTGGACACGCCTCCGTCAAAACGTTCACATTTGGTAACTAATTTCGATCGGAAGTAAGTGTCTTGACTTGCAATAATGTGTCCGCCCACGAGGTATGAATACGTTGTGTACTGTATCACTCCATGGGGACTCCTCCATATCTCAGAACAAGGTGTTGTCTTCGCCACGTAGAGGAGCGGTTCAGAAAGCAACGACTTTAACAATTTATGGTGTAAATCAAAGGCGAATGGCCAGTAACATGCAAGACGACTCTTTCTATCGATTCTTCACGATTGATTTTCACCTACAGACTTCCAAAACGACTTGGGAATTGGGCAGTATATATGTTTTTCATACAAGGATCGGCCACAGTTCAGTGTAGACATGGTAAAAGCTTTTATCATGAATAATATTCTATCGTGTTGAGATCTATTTATTTCAAAGTCGAAGTGTTTTGGTATAAATTATAGATAAGCATGTTTGTGTTAAATTCAAGTATTGTGACAAGATTTTTAATGTATACGAACATAAACAATGATCGAAGTATTTGAAATAAGCACGACCATATACAGTTATATTACTTATGATACCTTACATAATAAAATAGATAAATTAAAAAAAAAACAATTGATATAAGAAACATAAAAGAGAATAAGATAATTATTTACGGGTACATAACACAATGATATACTTACCGCTCTTCTATTGTGGCTTCTATCCTTCTCGTTAATGTTAAATAGACGGCATCCTAAACATTCATAACTATCCTCTGGTTCCATAGACCTATAAGGGCTGACCCCTGGAAGGCACGTAACAGCCATACCAAGGGACAATACGATCCAAGCCCTCATGTCACTGAAGTCACTGTTATACATACAGAATAAAACTTATAAAGTTAGTGGTCACTTCTATGCTAAACGCATGGCACACCTGAGACTAAGTGCGTCCTCGTGTTACATCCGATACTCACGACTGACATGTACATATACTCCGATCTTCTGATCTATATTCCAAAATGACTTGTGTTGTTTGGAGAATCAACGGACAACCTTGCGTGAGTACCTACTGACATATACTATGTCTACTTTCATCTTGCAGCAGATGGAAGCTCAAAGATACCATTTGTTAATTAGCGCGTGGCGTTCATTCTTATGAAGAGCGATCTGATTGGTCGATTCTATACCGACAATACTACGAGCGTAGTTTCCATTTGTAGGTGGAGTATTGGAGTTTATTGCTTTACAGGAATTCCAAAGACCTGTCCATGTTCTCAGATCTCGACTGGACCGCCAGAGGTGGGCAGTGTCGGGGAGATCGCCCCACCGCTGCCACCGACATCCTAACGCTGCCACTGAGCTTCCGACTATGGAAACGTACGCTGCTTCTGGCTTAAGCCGATGTGATGATGGGAGGAAAAGCCGACACAACATGTGTCTTGCTTTAAAAGCTGATCGGAGTCTGAGTGCTGATAATGCTTCTACTCTCCCTCCAATCTATAAGGCTCCAGCATCGGCGTGAGAAATGTATAGGGCTGAATGTGGATATTCTATATACATTGTGTTTTACGACCTGGCATTTACAATAAAAGTTTCGATTATTACTACAGAGGCTGATGCTATGTACAGGTAATTTCTGAGGCAGACTTTTTTCATATGCGATAAACGCTCAATTCAACGGTCTTGTTATTCTTCATAAAAATTTCAGAGAACGCGAAAGATTTATCATTTAGTTTAATGCTATGTCTTGTGTGCTTCCATTATAACAATTTGAAGCTAAGAGATACGCTATAATTAACATCGTTATAACCGCTATCCTGTCCTCAATATCTTTTTTACACCCATTCCGACTTAATTGCTTTGCTATCGTGATCTCCCGTTGACGTCTAATTGGCTACTTTGAGAATGTTACATTCCACCTGTAATCTCTAAAACGGGTATCGGCGAAGGGGTAATGAAGCGGTTATCACATGAATTTCACGCGGAGATCGTTCATCCAGTTTCTGCTTTATCAATAAATGTAACCTACTCAGAAATCTACTAGAGTTTGACATCCGTATTGTACATGTGTTCTACGTGTATTTAATAGCTAGGCGTGTGTGACGCGCATGATTGGTCGCTCCCTGCTAATAACGGTTATCAAACCGGGTAACAAATAGACATGTGCAGTGGAAAAGCTTTGCGATGAGCAATAACTGTTTTAATGAATTTATGCAGACAAGTTATCTTTTTTACCTTGAAACAAGTTAACAGAGAGCTCAAATCTAGACCGCACAGCTCGCATATCGATTACTACATCTCGTGATGACGGCACTATTGGAACGGTAGTGTTGGGAGATCAGTTAGCATAGACGTCTTAACTATACTAAAACAGAATACCTTTCATAACAACGAAAACGGAAAGAATCTCCGACAAAGTAAGACGATGCAACATGTAGTCTAAAAATAGCTTTGAAGAGTCAGTTCTTTATTCATTACAGGGCAAAAACAATACATATCAAGTGCAAAAATTGATTTACTAGATTAACAGAATGCTAGATAAGGGTGTTAAATGATCACGTACGCATCCCACATACTTCAACAAAATCAGGTTAATTTCAGATCATATTTAGCTTGGATTTACGTTAAACAGTACCACCACTCCATCACCTGCTTGCGATCTATGCCTTAACCAAAATCTGATTCCTCATTAAACATCTACAAAGATCGAAAGGTCAAATACAATATGACACGTTCATGGCTGTATTGTACTTGTAGTCAACGGTCTTCCATCTTCTGTCGCAGAATTACTATTGGTAAACTGGAATGGTCATCGCTAGCCTTGGTGTTTGCGAGAAATGAAGGACAATGTCACGGCCACAAAATTTAATTAGAAACACATATATCTTTATTTGTAACTTTCAAGTTCGGCCAAACTTAATTATTGGTTTTTATAGGTAAAGGACTAAAAGCTGAATGGTGTTCTGTAAATGGAAGCATACACATTCTGATACGTGTACCACCAGTGTGCGATGCAATCGTAGCTAGGTACACATTTATCCAATCCGTCAAAAACTAATTGCACTACAGAGTTCATAGTGTAGCATATACTAAGCATGGCTGCCTCGGATATGTTGTAGACAATATGAAAGTACGCACCATAAACCGTACTATTTATCTTTACTTGAGATATACATAAGGCCAAATGGCGTGTGCTCTTTAGATGTTACATGTACGGAAAGTGCTATTAGTGAAAAAAACACGTTTCGGATTCCAAACAAAATATTCTTGTGCAATTTCCTGCTATTTTCCAGTCCCACAGGATGTAACGTTCCTCATTATTAATGACCTACTATAAACCGACCGACAATTTCACAGAAAGTCAAACGAATTGTAGCATTTGTGAGCACGACGCCTGTTTCCGATAATTTTTCTGAATTCTGAAAGTCACGATTATTATTGAGGGATTCGGTATAGTTCAGCAGTGACACTTGTGAGAGAGGTTATCCACTTCGGACACAATTAAGTTAACGGAAATAGAAAAGGACACAACATCACACCGGAAGTGATTGCATTTTAATCCGATATTAAATTAGGTACTCATTACAGACCAAAAAGTATAACTTTGTCATCTTTCACAGAGTAAACAACAAAAGTCAGTCTGATCAATAACTTTGATTAAAGTCCAGATGTATCAAACGAAGTCAGATAATACAGGATTTATACCAAGCTTTGTGATGGATAGACACGTTTACAGGAAACAACAAAACAACTGGATGATCTGAGATGAGATGCGATGTACCGCTTGATTATTTCCATATAGCTTTATTACATCGACCTCATTGATGTTCCGATCTAAGTTACTACGCTTTCTTGTATTCCTTGTTTTCTACTTAACAAGCTGATGTTGACTAGAAGTGTTCTTTAGAAACATACCACACATGACCAGATTGGCGTTTAGAAGTTCTTCTTTCATTTTACGGTGAAGGCTATGGCGTTGGTGCAATTAATTTGTATACAAAGGTAAATTATTAGACTAATAGATTGTGAACGATGATATATTCTACTGACATGGAGGGCAGATCCTTTGAGGATTATGGACAAATTGTCGATGATAAATCAATTCTACGCGTCAAAGGATATATTGGCCTAGCAAGAATACTTTGTTTACAATAACACAATTACTGGGCGCTTCGTACAACAAAAGGCACTAACAGCATCTTACAAAATAATGTTAAACCCGGCACATTCTACAACACCTCCCTTATATATAGTCTATATATCACTCTATAGAAAATACAAATAACACGAGGATATTGCCACATACAAACCTAACGGTAAATTCGTATCCAGGAATCGATTAGATGTGAGCAAGCTTTTCACAAAACAAAGAAACAAACGGAGACAGTTTTAAAGAAAAAAGGAAAGTAAGGCTAGGCGTCTCGGAAACGTAAGTATTCTCTGCTGCTTCAACATAAAAGTAGATCAGTACAAATCCAATGACAAGTTCAAACTAAGAGCAGGAACAGTGATAATGACCGACGAACTCATCGAAAACGACTAGAGGATAGCGGGGTATCAAAAATATCTCTAAAAACTAAATTTTTTATATATATTGGGAACAAAAATACATATGTATAAATACAATGTGTAAATATTGCAATTTAACGGGTAGGTATGTTGCTAAATCTAGAGATGGAAAATGAATTCACAGTGGAGAGGTTGAAGTAACTGAGCATTAATAATGTTAATGCCGCGTAGTTTGTTGTATCCTGTTTTTTTAAGTTCAGGATCGAAAGAGCATGATACAATTATATCTTGGTATTTACACTAAGAAAGAGAAATCTCCAGTATTTCCTTTAGCAAAATGAAGTTGCTTTCGATATCTTTCTTTGCTTCCTCATCAATAAATTCAGTCTCGTATGAAAGTGAAAAACACAATTCTGACAAACTTTGTACAGCAAAATTTTATAATCTATTCCCAAGCAAGTTCACAATAGATTTCACCATCCTGTGATATACGTCTCTGTCGACACTCGACATATATCATGGAACACATGATATTGAAAACCAGCCTTTGAATCAATTGAAATATATATGTAGATATATTGTATGTGCTTTGTGTTGTATGTAGAAGTCTGTATGATATGTTATATATGTATGTGTGTCGGTCCATGCTTTGTGTTGTATGTGGAAGTCTGTATGATATGTTATATATATATGTGTGTCGGTCCATGCTTTGTGGTGTATGTGGAAGTCTGTATGATATGTTATATGTATGTGTGTCGGTCCATGCTTTGTGTTGTATGTGGAAGTCTGTATGATATGTATGTGTGTCGGTCCATGCTTTGTGTTGTATGTGGAAGTCTGTATGATATGTATGTGTGTCGGTCCATGCTTTGTGTTGTATGTAGAAGTCTGTATGATATATATATATATGTGTCGGTCCATGGTTTGTGTTGTATGTGAAGTCTGTATGATATGTGTATATATGTGTGTGTCCAGTCTGTATGATATGTTGTGTTGTATGTGAAGTCTGTATGATATGTTATATATATATGTGTGTGTCGGTCCATGCTTTGTGTTGTATGTGAAGTCTGTATGATATGTTATATATATATATGTGTGTGTGTCGGTCCATGCTTTGTGTTGTATGTAGAAGTCTGTATGATATGTTATATATATATGTGTGTCGGTCCATGCTTTGTGTTGTATGTAGAAGTCTGTATGATATGTTATATATGTATGTGTGTCGGTCCATGCTTTGTGTTGTATGTAGAAGTCTGTATGATATGTATGTGTGTCGGTCCATGCTTTGTGTTGTATGTAGAAGTCTGTATGATATGTATGTGTGTCGGTCCATGCTTTGTGTTGTA